TGATGAAAAAATCCGAATACCATCACACTCGGAAAAAAATATGGGGAAGAAGGGATATCATTCAAAAACTCTGACTGATCCGGGTCATCCACATTGACTAATGTTAATCTTGTTGGGAACTCAGCATTTTCATCAAATTGTCTAGCCAAATGCAAATACGTAATGCATTTATCCCCACACCAAAGAAATTGAACTGGCATAACGTCCGTTTCAATATTGATCAAACGTGTAATATCTTCAAATGAGCGTGAGGCAACGCAGAGCGTTCCATCCCGAACCAAAAAAGCAATCGATTGACCATTTGGGGAAAGTGCCATATGAACCACACTACCTCCACCCACAGATAAACGAAGGTCAAAACATCGAGGATTATTATAAAAGACACAATGACAAAAACTAGATACATTTTCATTCGATAGAAAAGGTATAAACAGTTCAGTGTAACCAGTATCACTAAATTGTTTTGGAATGGCCAACATTACCGTCGGTTTTTGGTTCTGAAATACCTGAGGAAGTTTCAAGAAAATTGTTCTATATTCCCCACTAAAATGATATTCCAATAGAATCACATGAGGCTCCCCATCATCAACCAATAGAGCGATTCCATTTGCTGTGCTAACACATAATAATCCAACCGGAACCTTGATAGATGATGCAACAATTTCTCCCGCCAAATTAAAAAATCGTACTTCCCCTGTGTTCAAAAAAATAATGAGATGATCAGTACATTCATTCCAGCACATGAAGAAAACACTTTCCATACTATTCAACTGAATATGCGAATTCACAGGGTGTGGTGCCCCTCTTGCATTATAAAAACAAATAGCATTTCCACCCTCGTTCAAATCAAAGCGTTCCCCGCAATATAACGCTAGGGGGCCACCTGCGGTACAATAAGCAACTTTTAACTCGGACAAACCCGTTTTCAATCCCCATAATAAATCGTCAAAATCAATTAATCGCACCACAGTTTCCCTAGTAAGAGCTATCCAAACTCCAGCTCTTGATGTCCTCACAAAGCCTCGTTGATATACCATTTCCCTTCAATTTCACCCCTCCTAATAAATTAATATTAATAATAATAATAATAATAATAAACAAAGAAAAAGCCGGTTTTTTTGTTGTTGTTTTTTGTATTATATTATTATTATTATTATTTGTGCTATTATTGTTATTCTTGCTATTATTATAAATCACTTTGTGTTGGTTTTTCCCCCTTTACCCGTGTATGTCTATATGCATCCACGTTTCCCTAATGCAAACAAAATATATATTTTTTAAAAAAAAGTTATTATTATTTTTTTCTTTCCATTGTTTGAATATTTTCATAAATTTAATTGTATATATATAAAAAAAAAAAAAAAAAAAAAAAGATAAATAAATAAATAATATACACACAATACAAAACGAACAAAAAAGCCTAAAATATCGTTACCAAAAGAAAAAAATCCTATTTATTTATTTCATTTTATTTTATTTATTTAATTTATTTTATTAGTAGTATTAGTATTATTATTTCATTCTACGGCGGCAAAACTGATAATACTAATACTAATAATAAATAAATAAAATAAAATAAATAAATAAAATAAGAATCGTTCAAGAGAAACTCAGATCATTTTGTTTTTTCTAAAGGGACTGAAGAATAAACACTCATGGCAAAGGGCACATTTTCCGAGTGCTTCTTCGTTAATGGAATAATATTTATTTTATCGTTGGGTTTAACACATAAATCAAAGCAAAAAACCACAAGAACATCTCTCCGAAATTCAGTGACAAAGTGAGGACGACCATCTTCACAACAAAAATCTGGATTTACCCAAAGCTCCAAACCGACAGAATGAGTTCTTTTCCTTACAGGTTCTTGAGAAAGTGCCACCACAATTTTTTCAACCTTTTCTTGGCTAGTGTTTGTTAAGACCAGTGAAGAATTTAAAACATCCCTCTTAGTTAAAATACCTTCTATAGTACATTCATAAAAAGATGGAAAAGGATTTATTTGAAATCTATCCGTTGAGGTTGCAGTTAAAGTACATATACATCGAGAAGAAGCTGATGCCGTAATTTGCAAACGTTCATTTTCTCTTAAACGTATAACAAAGGCAGCTTCTTCTTCATAAAGTTTTTCGGTACATAGCAAAGCATTTCTTGAACATATATCATACCGTCGTTCGATTTCATTTCCATTATCATTTACTTTGTGTACATGTAATTGAATCCAATCTGAACGATTTGCGGTATAATCATCGCTTTTTCTCAGAACAATCATGATTTCAGATTGTGGTTTCCCCATATTTGTTAGCAAAAAAGAGGGATTCGTAGCAAATTTTGAAGAGCTATCTGTTCCTCCAAAACACTCACATATGTGTTCCACAACATTCTTATGATTCGTCAATGGATCATTTCGAGGCCAAAGAAGAAGACATATTTTGTCAAAATATGTCAAAAAGTCCTCAAAACCTATCCAATACTGTGGAAGGCCAGAAACAGATTTCATTTTTGAATAAGAGATAAAAAATGTATCTTCAGACTCTAATTTATTTGGACACGAAAGCTGTACCATATAGGAAGGGTGTGGCTTTTCATCCCGATGTGCTTCAGTAGCCGTTACAACATATGACATATGGGGTTCAATACCTTTTTCTTTTGCAGAAAGCATCGCCATTGAATTACGAGGAATAAGACGAGCAGCTAAAACTTTTTTTGAATTTGTTAGATCTCTCAGAAATCGAAACAATTCAGTTTCCGTAAATTTCTGTCTCAAAAATTTCCAATCAATTGCAAAAGTAATTCCACCAGTTAATTGCGAAAGAGCAGAACCAAAAGTTACACCAGAAATATTATCGTATCCACCATAAAGCTTAGCAAATGCCTTTTCCACCAAGCAACCCCAGTAATCATCAGAATCTCTACCGTGATGAATCCCAGCAGGTTCACCGTTTAAAAAGGGAATTTGGTCATCCACAATAACAGTAACTAAAGAAGATCTTATGCAAAAACAAAACGCAAAAAGTCCCAAATTTGGAAGTCGTCTTACACAGAGTTGCTTGCTAAGATGATGAAATTGTTGCACCACATTAAGAGCTGCGCAAAAATTCTTTGTATCATTGTACCTAGAATGATATAGGGGCTTTTCTCCCACACAACAACATTCGCGTTTCTTTGCTTCAGTCAGAAGACTACTTACCCTAATCCACGTTACATTAGGATTTTTCAAGGCTTCTTCAGGTGGAAATTCCTTATCTGTAAAGAGAACACCTCCTTCCATAACAGAGCGTGCAATTCCCCAAAGGGAATCATTCTGCATTGATTTTAATACTGGTTTCTTCGGTTCGGTTTCATTTTCTTCAGTCCAGGACTCGACTCGCCAGCGCCATGATCTCGGAGCTTCGGGCTCCACAGCTTTTTGCCAATATTGCATTTTCTTTTGAAAACAAATATTATTCATTTCCACTTGTGTCTTAATGGAAGCTTCCAAGTATTCAGGTAATAATGTACCCGTAAGATCAACGTAAATTAGGTCATCACAAGCAATGGATAGCTTCCTTACAGCTTCTCCGCCTTGAATTCCAAGATGCACATTTCTAAGAATAAGCTCCTTCACACAGCCATCACTCAAGACAGAAAATAATCGGACTAGCTGAGTCATAGTTATTTTTATTCCACTAAGATCCACCCTTTCAATGTCATCCCGTCTTTCCAACAGTTTAATAAGGGATTCAAAGTGCTTAGACGAGACAATAAGTAAACTAAGATCAACCTTCTCGGGAGATGCTGCAAACGCTTTCTCTAGCGCCAAAAGCGGCTGTAATCCCAGCTCTTCACAAATTTGCCGATATTCACCCAGCACGGAAACTAAGCTCATACACTTTCAAATTAGGTAAAAAAAAAAAGGCAAGTAAATAACAAAAAAAAAAAAAAAGGCCATCCGCAGAAGAAAAAAAAAACCAGTTGTGCGGCAACGGCCACCGCCACCACCAAATCAGTCAAGAAAAATTTTGCGCGGCTTTTTCGCACGCCAACAGGGCTTAACCTACATCCGTTCATAAATACAGTACCGTCGCCGATTCCATGATGACAAAGAGGTCAGGCCGCCGAGAAGGCGCAACTCACCCGGCGACGACACCCCGATGGGATCGACACCGGTCGAATTTCGCTGTCCAGCATGCGGCTTTTGGCGCCACAGCGGTGACGGACTGGCCCACCGCCGCACAGCACGCCACGGGGGTCGACCTGACATTGTGAGAACCGGCCCGCATGAACAGCGCGAGGAGACAATTCTGCATCTACTCCGATGCCCGGCTCCGCGGGCGCCTGGGATAAAAATGGACTGGACACTGAAGAGGCGAGGAAGCCGCGCTTCACGAAAAAGTTGGCGCGGTTTTTCCTTGAAGTGGAACGGCTCCGCCGCCAACAGCGCCTCCACGCGGCGAGGGGGCGCGACGCCCCTCACGGATGCGGCGTGAAATCGATGCTCCTGGAAGGCGCCTTTTTTTTCTTCTTTTTGTTGACGGATGAATTGGCCCAATGATTTGCTGATTTGTTATTTTACTGATTTTTGGCAACGGCGGATCATCGAGCCACCGCGCCGGCCGGGGCGGCTGCGTAACGTGTGCGTTTCGCGCCCTCCGCTGCGGCTTCCTTTCCGGGGGTGGTGATTCTTCTTCACACCTCCACTCAGCAGGGCGGACGTGCTCTGCGATGGTGGGTGCTGTGCGTGTGTTCGAGTTCTTTTGAGAGGAAAAATGAAAGAAAGGACTGGCGGGAAGTAAAAAAAAAAAAAAAAAAATCACGCTCTTCTTGTGCCTGCATTTTTCGGCACGCCATATCAGCGCGCACCCTGCCCGGACACTATTACACGGCCCGCCGTGTTTCCAAGGCGGCGGTTGTCGTCCTTCCCCCGCAACGTTATTTGGACTAGGAGTGAGAGATGTTGGCGGTCGGGCTGCGCAGCGATGGTGCAATTGAGGAACGGTGAGAAATGGACGCGCCTCCACTGCTGCACAGCTGTTCACATTTTTCTTTGCTCTCGCAGCCCCCTAACATCAAACATCACGGTGACAGGACTGTGGGTCAACTCTAGTACTGAGATTGAAATATTCAACCAACGTTGCGTTTTTTCTGAGGATTCACACAGAAGAGGCTGACAATAAATTAATAACGGCAGCATGGTTTAGACGTTGTGTATTTTGCACTTTCACTCAGGTGTGAATTTTGTTTGCTGTGGTATCCGCCGGTGGAGGGATATGATCCCTCCGCGATTGCACGACAGAAGATGAACATGGTGTTGTGTGCTGGGGAGTTTTTTTTCTTTTTGCGCATTGCAACTCACTTTGCTTGCCTACGGCGGCTGCAATGAGGCCTTGCGGCCGCGTGCTCGTCGCACATGTCTCATCTTTTGCTTTTGGTCTCTCGTTGTGTCGTTGGGGAGGGTGTGAGCGACGGCGTCGGTTGAGCGGCGCCTCATTGGGGGAAGGAAGGCACTCACCGCTGCTGACGGTGGCAGTTGATGCTGCAGGCGATCTGAGGAGATAGCGTAATTTGTGTCAACACCAACCGAGATGAGGACCGCACCGCATCTCTGTTTTTTCCCATCGCCTTTTTTTTCTTCTGCGGACACGCGCCACACGCACCGCAGAGCAGCGGCGCGACCGC